CCGAACGGAGCCCCCCGACCCGCTCCTCCGCCCCGCCCCCCCCCCCCCCGCGCAGGGGGTGAGGCCGCGGCGTCCATCGACTGGGCAGACGCCGGGACAGGGAAGCCGACCCCGGATATCTACCGCTGGCTGGAGGCCCAGCGGCCTTGGAGCTCAACGGACCCGAAGGGGCTGCGATGGGGCTCGGCACGCGCTGGGAGCAGATCCTCCTCCTGGCCGGAATCGGCTTTCCTAGTTCGGGGATGGCACCCTCGGTGGACATGTGGAGCACCCGTGATTTCCTACCTCCAGAAAGACTGGGGAGTTGGCAAGGCATGACCGCCTTTGGGCTGACCCCCAGCCCTCGGCCTCCAGTCCCTGACCCACACCAAGCACCCTTTTAGGACTTCAGGCCTAAATGAAGCCAAGGGGCTCCCCTGGGCAGGCCACAGCAGCTCCCCCAAGGGCTCCTTCTCCAAGGGGGCCATTCAGTTGGGGGCCTGCAATGGCCTCCATCTGGTGCTTCTCTGCCCTCCAGCAAAAGGGGGGCAACTCGGTGGCTCTCTGGCCACTGGATGAGGACTCAGCTCCAGCCTTCTGGGGGCTCCTTCTCAGCTACCCAAGCAATGGAGGGGAGCACTGAGTGAAGGACCCCCCCACGGAGCCCCTCGGACTGCAACCCCCTGGGAGGGTCTCTGGTGACCCTGCAATCCCTCAGAATCTCCCCCGTGAGCTTGAGAGAAGCACCCCGATCTTGGAGAGAGGAGCAGACGTCTCCCCTTCTGCCGAGGATCAGAAATTCAGGAATGGAGGGAACTGATTAAATGGCGTCTGACCCGGAGACAATTTGGAGCTGAGACCAGACTATTCGGACAGCATCAACTCACATCATTCCAGGGTTTTCCTACAGTCTAAGTTTATTGTTTTATATCAAACAAAACCCAAGGGAATTCGTTAGCTAAATGAGAGTTTTTGACTCTCCTCAGTTCGGATTCAGTCCGGCAGAAGATCAGACACGAAAATACCAGCTGAGATTTTGAAGTTTTATTGAAAGTTGTCAATAGAGTCAGCTGGGGTCTCCCCTTAAGACAGTGAAGAACCCCGGTCACACCCAAAGAAGAAGATTTTATACATGTTTCTTACAAAGAGGTACAGAAATTAACAAAGGATTGGCTGAAATTGGCATAAGTTTTGGATCCTCCTCATTATTGGGGGAAACTTATCTTCCTGATGACCTGTTGGTTGCTAGTCAGAGTTTGGGGCACCCCCCTCTGAGCTTCTGGATTTTATTGTTTCCTAGAATGCAGATTGGGGTCACTTCCCCCCATATCTTTATGGCCTCCACACTTAAGGAGACCAGATGTCTGCCTAAAGCCCTCCAACATAACAGAGATGAGGGAAACGTGTGAAGGTTCATGAACATCAGTTTCCTTGTTATCCCTTTGGCTTCCAAATGTAAGAAAATAAAGATGAGGGAAACTGAGAGCCCTTTTTCATAAGGTTTCAAATTGACCCAGGGGAGAATAGCAACGTAGATGAAGCTCCTGTGCATTCGAAGCAGGGAGAGATGGAGAATCGAGGAGGGATCCAAGGAAGGGAAGGACCGAGAAAGGAAAAGAGGCTGGGGCTCTGCTGGGCAGAGACCAGTTGATCCCTGAGATCATTTCTCAGGAATGGGGGATCCCAGGTTGGCTAATAGTTTTGGGGGCTCCAGAAGAGAGAATTAGAAAAACCTCCTAATTAATGGAGGGGGAATAGAAGAAACTCACCTGTGGA